TGATCACACAACATAGGCATAAACATTTCTTTTCAATGAACTAATAGCAATTACTAGTATAACTATCTTAACTATCGTATACATATATATGTATTTATTATTATTATTTTTTCCCTTCTTTTCTCCTCTTGAGGAAATTTTATATATTAACTAAATCAAAATATTTGGGTAACCTGCCATAGAAAAAATATCTTTCCTTTCAAGACTGAAAATTTTTAGAAATATCCCAAGCTACACTTGCCTTTCTTAGAAGATGTTTTTACCCCTTAATGTAATATAAATTCAACTCCACTTCCTGCCAAGACATGTATAAGTTTACTGGATTTAAAAAAAAATGTATTTGATTGTGCATTCACAATTTCCAAAGATCTCTCCACTATATTCACTTTCATTTTCTACTCTTTACAGATAGCTCAGTACTTTTTTTAAGCTTACTCATATCTCTCTGGTGTTCAAAAAAAAAAAAAAAGCATCCTTGCCCACTCCATTTCCCCATTCAGCTATCTCTGTACTTTTCATTTTCTTTTCACAATGAAACTTCTCCAGAAATTATCAGCTGTGGTGGAGACTGCTTGTTATTACCTGATACCCATTGTTCATATCCTCTTTAATATAGATTTGGACCGTTAAACGTAAAACATACATTCTTGCTGCAGTGTCAATATTTTTTTTTGTTAATTGCACACAATACCTGCCACCCACACTTGAAGGAGGAGAACTCAACTTGGCTCACATTTAGAGATTTTAGTGCATAGTCAGCCAGCTCCAAGGCAAGGACATCATGGCTGAAGGCCTGGTGGAGCAAAACTGCTTAGTTCATGGCAAAGAGGAAATAGAGCAGGGAACCATGCACAAGAGGAAAGGAGCAAGGTACCATATGTAGTACCTAAGTTCATACGTGCAGAACACACCCAGATGCACCCAAATCTATACTTTGCAATTTTCTAGATATTTCTTAATCCAATCAAGACAGCATAGCAAGATTAGTGGTCATATCTGCAAATGAGATAGAGTAAAAATACCACTATTTGGTAATATATTTTAATTGAAAGCACAAGTCTTTTCTTGTCCCTTCCTCCTTCCTTTTGGGAGGAATGTGGACAAAATAGAGACCAACATTCATTTTTATACCACAGTACAGCTTTTGTTAAGAAGCAGGATAGAATAACAAGACAGAAGACTAAATTGTCACTATTTCAGGTGAAACATCTTGCTGTACAAGAGAAATAAAATCCTCATCCTTGTTTAAACCACACTAGCTTCTAGTTTTTCTGCTCCTTCTAGCCAATGCTAGTTTTTACAAATATGTTTAAACCTATTCTATCTAAATCCTTACCTAATATTATTCTTCAACATACCCAAATCTGGCTCTTTATGTATTAAAGTGATACCATGGGCAACCTATTCATTCAGGACCCCTCCTATCTCTCAGGAGCTATTCTTATTCCCCATCCCCCATTCCTATTCACCAATAGATTTTCCTACTTAAAAAAAGTGATACTAACCTTATCAAAGTCACTGGTGACATATCACTATACTCTCATTTAATTTGGCACAATAAATTAGTTTCTCTTATTTCTCTAGTTTTTTTTTTCTATTGCTTGAGTCCAATACTGCATTTTTTTTGTCATTGAAGACACAGGGCATACTATCAGTACAGCATTTTGAATAATATATAAAACTTCTTATGCCTAAATGTAACCAGTCTAAGAGATGCCTCTGAACAAGCCAGATCCCACTTAGCCCTCTCAAGTTACAAAAAAAGTCCATGCCATCATAAAATGTAGAGTAAGTCTTCTCCATAGTATTATGCTATGGCATACATTTTGGCTGATTCAGACCTACACACTTTAGCTCTTATTTGTTTCTCTGTTTGTTCATTTGACAATTATTTCCTCAGTATTCCAGAAATGTGACTTTTGAGATTTCCCTAATAATCACTCATGTGGCAATTATTTACCGCTTTAAGTAAAATCCATATGGTGGTGACTGGTGACTAAAGGCCTGACTCTATATATATATATATACACATCATTTCTTTTTCTTTTTCCCAGAACCATTTGCTACATCAATTTATTAATATGTCAAGTTCCAATGTCCATGTATGGATTACATAAGGATCCAAATATCTACAGAAATGTATACAGAATCCAAATATCTACAGAAATGTATACAGAATCATTACTTCATTTAGTATCCCTACTTCTTTAATCATCCCGATTATTAGAAAAATAACTGAGATAATGTTTCATATCAATTTCATTTTTTCTTATTGGACCATGGCTGATCTTTTTACTTATTTTTAATACTTCTTAATAGAAAATGAGAACATGATCTGTCACTTGCAGTGGTCTTCATGATGCTACACATGGAGTCCACCACAGAGAGCTCATTTCTTTTTATTAAACATCAATGTTAAAAAAGTCCAGATCCTTACAAATGCTCACCCATTAGAAATCATCTATATACTTATATCAAATGCATTATCAAAGTATTTGTCCTCTATTCTCTATGAATGTCACCATTACACACTCAGTAGTTGAAAGCAGAGCCTTAAAGTGTCATCTTTTGATTATTTCCTTTCCCTCTCCTTTATATTCCTCATACAGAGAATAGAAGCAACCTGTTCAATGTTTCAAAACCGCTAGACCTATTCAGAATAAGTCACACTATGAGTCATGGTTAACTTGCCGCCACCCAAAGGAAAAAAAAACTAATTTTTAAGGTGAATTAAAATAGTTCCTTTTTTAGTGTATAAAGTAAGGCACACATATAGTTGTCAGACAAATCTTCAGGATGTCTACAGTATTTAGGGAATGCCAGATACTGGCTAAACATTTTGTTACTTATTATCTCATTTGTTTCTTTCAACAAATCGAGCATAAAAACATTGGTACTTCCACTTCATAGATAAAAATACAGGTTCCCAGACAGTAAGTAATTGAATCAGCTACTGGCCTGGTACTGGAATATAAATTTCATAAATATGGAGGTCTTGTCAGAATAGTGTTTTATTGCCAGGTCGTAGAAGAATACCAATGCATAGCTAAATAACATTTGTTCAATGAATAAGTTACTAGGAACTAGAAATCAATGGAGAGGTCTAGAAGCCCATGATTATATTAGATTTCAAATCTCATTTTTGTAACCACTGTGTTATTAGGTATTCAGTGTATGGTTGTAGAATAGATTGATGCATTTATGGGTAAATGGATAGAATGGAGAGAGAAAAAGAAAAAAATGAAATGGAGAAAAAGGGTGGACAGAATATCTTTTTTTTTTTCCTATTCTCTAAAGATTATTGTATGACATTAATAAATTATAAAAGAAATTAATCATACAGATACTTAAATGCAAAGACACCATTTCTCAGATAAATCTCCCAATAAAGTCAATTCATGCATTTTTTTTGTCTGTAAGAGTCAAATTCTAACTTCCACCCTGGTTAGAGAATCATTGTAGGGGGAAATATTTTTAAAAACAATTAGAACATGTCTAAGCAACTATTTACTAGAATGTGTTCATTTGTATCTTAGTAATAACTAATGCTTGAATATAGGATTTTAGTCATGAATATAAGATTTTAGTCATTTAGTTAATTTATGTTATTGAATTGGGAAATAGCCATTAGTCAATTTTTAAAAATAGATCATTTGTTTTCTTTTAAATGTAATTCTTGATATGAGGCATTAATTTTGGTTATACTACCATTACTAGTCACAAATGAGTGGCTTCTACATTTTATTAAGGACTCTTTGTAATTACAATCTTCAATACATGTGATATCCTGACTCTAACACATTTCAGCTGTATGTCTTTGACCAAAGTCTTTAATCTAACAGTGAAATTCTTTAAGAATAAAATGAGACACCTCTATGTAATCAGTTATAAGGTGTAATAAGAAAATATGTATAGTCCCTGATATAAGTGTAAGTACTCTGGAGGAAGGTATGTTTTTCCTTGTTTAAAGAAACAAAAATAATCTCTCTTAAACTCTAATTTAATGATTAAAATTTCTCACTATGAACATTGTCTCAAGATGAGACTTTAAAATAACAAAATGAGAGTAAATATAGAATGCATTCTATTTTATCCTTAACTTGTATGACTCCATGATACAGTACCTTTGGTCCTAACTTACCCAAGACAATATATATATATATATATATATATATATATGAATAAATGTAATCGGACCTTTCTACACTATTTACATCCCTATATAAGTAATTGAATTTTACTATGTGTTAATAAAATTTCTTTTAAAATTAAATTTGTACCGTGAGGATATATTAAAAATATTTTTGTATTAATTATTCACACTGTTTCAATATAGTCTACATGGTAATTACAGATTGACATAAGAACTTAATAATTATGGACAGAACAGGTGATATGAAATAAAGTTAGTTATAAACCTAGTTACAGTTCAAATTTAAAGTTTTTAAAGACTCTTTACCACAAGAAACCAAACACAATTTGTCAGACGATTATGATTCATCCATGTCTGGTAGCATTAGTTGCTTGCCTATGCCTCAAATTCACTGTATATCAAGCTCTGTGTGTGTGTGTGTGTGTGTGTGTGTGTGTGTGTGTGTGTGTCTAAGAGCGTCTTTGGAGCTTGACAGACCTAGATATAAATCTCTGCTAAGAACAAACTAAATACCAAGTCATTTTGACTTAGTTTCTTTACTTCTAAAATGGGAACAGAAAATCTGGTTCAGAATTTTTGTGAAAATAAAAATTGAAATAATTCATCTAATGATTTTAGAATAGTGCCTCAGTGCCTCAAGCACTAAATAAATATTTAAACAGTTTAGAATTTTATTGTCATTACTATCATTTACACTTTCCACAGAAGATTAGATACGTGCAACTAGTCCCTACAAATTGACCTGTGAAGTGAAAAAATGCAATTCTTTACTAAATCAGAGCCAACTCTATAAATACCAAGGCAAGAAATCACAAATCCATAAATACAGTAGTTTTAAAGAGCATACCATATCCCACTGTAGAAAGACCCAAGTGTTTCATTCTATTTTTCACAAGTTCAGCAAGCTCTTGTCTTTCTGACCTCCTGTAGAGGTTCAGTCGCTGCTGGGTTATTTTTTCAGCTGTTTTACCAGAGTGTTTTGGACCTTTTCTGCTCAGCCTTCGGGCCCACTGCATGCTCTTTCTCCGCAGCAAGGGGTGGTCAGACTGGTCGCTGGAGGTCGAGTTGCGGTGGTTGCTGCGGTGGTGCCCTTGCTCTTTGGAGTCTTTGGTATCTTCCCACTCTTCCACACTGATAGATATTTGAGACTTTAAAGAGAACAGATATGAATAATCAGATATTTTTGGAATGATCATAGCGTGGAGCTGAAATACTATCCATTCACAAAATCTCATCATAGTCGCACATGTTCTTGTGAAAGCTTCCACAGAAAGAGCAACATCATAATCTTCAATTCTGACCATCTATACTAAAAATATTATAGAATTAATTGAACTTATATATGAACCAAATAAAATATTTGCATCTTTCTGTGGAAATTCTTTTGAAAATATTTAATTTTTGTGTATAAGAATTTTGAAAATAAATGTCTACTAGTACAGGTATTTGAAGCACACAAAATAGACATTTTATAACTTCATTCAAATAAAGTCCATGCTATTCTTTTCCAAATATACTATAAGTATTTTTCATGCAACTTAAACATCTATTGTGAAAAATATTATTTTTATAATTAAGGATGTTTCAAAGGTTTTATATTATTGCTCTTTCTCAATGTGATGCTGGAATGCTTTTATACAATGTGAATTTTTTAACTCTCTCATATATCCCAGAAAAAAGTAAAAAAGCATTTTTAATCCATGCATTCATAAGACACCACATAAAATGCTTTTCAGATTATGATATTAAACCATATTTCAAGAACTATCAAAAATTAAAAGATGTTGTAAAAATTAATGAATCACAAACACATTGTAGAATCACAACTAAAATTTAAACCAGGTTATTTTTCATAGCAGAGGAAATCAATGAACTCACTCATAAAGTCAATTCTAAGGTTTGCTACAGAATCTAATTTTTGCAGGAAGAATCTCTCCTCTGATTAGAAGCTCTTCACAAGTAAGTTTTTTGATTAAGTAATATTACTTTTCTTACCAGGAAGTCATATGAAAAACAACACCCATCAGAGCAGAAAGTCTTACTTTGTAAAGACATGCACATGCAAAGAAACAGTTTTCTGAATTCTGTTGTACATACTTCTGAGCAGCAATCATTAATCTGTTAATCCCTTCTATGGATGGAAGCTTGACCTTCAGCTATAACATGTATGTATTGCTGGCTTTCAAAGTAATAGAATTTAAATTACCAAGTTATGTAAGGTCAGGAAGTAGATCCAATATAATCTTTTAATATAATCCTTTATAAGTGCGAATATAAATTATGGAGTCTCAGTCATTACCTCATATATATCTCTTGGGAACAAGCTAGACAATTATTGCCACTTAATTTCTTTTTTTATTTATTTTTTATTTTAAAGAATAAAAGAAGGATAACATAATAATAGGGGGGACTTAGCAAATTACAGACAAAATGGTAGGAAATTATCAATGGTTATCGTTTTACATATTATTATCTACAAAATAGTTTCTCAGGAAAACAAATAGACAAATAATAGTGAGTTACAGACAAAAGAGGTAGGAGATTATCAAGAGTTGTTGTGCTATACTTTGGTATCTTCAAAGTGGCTTCTAAAGAAAATAAATAGAGCTATACATGAGTGAGCTACTGAAAAATCATTAACTATTCTCAATGGTTGTTGTAGGAAACACATAATAATAAACATACATTATGAAATAGGATAGGAACATTACAAACTTAACACAGTTATGGATAGATTAGTAGGAAAATATCAATGGCTGCTGTAATACGTGGTGGTATCTTCAAAGTGGTTTCTCAGGAAGACAGAGATATGCAAGAAGGATCTAATAAGTAGTTACAGCCTAAGGGTTGTCAAAAATAGCATATTACCTCCTCACCAGTGACTCCTTTCACTGAGGTATGATGGCTGGAAGGAAGGCCAGGATTGAAAAGAAGGACCGAGAGACTTGCACCGGTGACTAGCAACAGACTGTTTTCTTGTTCCTCCATAGTCATGATTACCCAGGACTCCTCGATGGAGATGAAGGTCTGGCCAGAGGGAGAAGGCAGACCATGCCCCAAGCCCTCTCATTCCTGTTGGACTAACTGGTAGCATGGGTCTGAGCTCTGGGGCCTCCACCTCAGAGGGCAGACCGATCTCCAGTGGTTGCCACTTAATTTCAATCAAATATTCATTTTCCTTTCTGTTACAGAAGAGTACTGTATTCAATCGACCTCAAAATTAATTAATCTAATTTCCATATCTCTAGGATAACAAATAATTTGATTTTAAAAAATTAGAAACTATAGTTTACCTACCAGAACTTAATACAGAAGCAATAAATTTTAAACACTATAATTCTGTAATAATGAATACCTTTATCAGACTTAACTTATGCTATTCTTGTCTACTATATTAAAAAATTTCTTCTATGGGAATAAAGGATATAATAGAGCAATATCTACTATCAGTAAAGCATACTTTGCTCAGTAATTTATGTGTACTTGTAGTAGAAATAAAAATATAGGAATTCATTCATTTCATTCAGTTCACTCATATTTGTAGAAATAAATTATAATCTCAATTTTATTTGAAGGTATCTCTGCTATTGCCTCTAGTCATAAGTAACTGTAATAGTGTGATTTCTTGTGAATGTATAAAAATAGTAGTAATTATCAAGAACAAATCACAAGATGCTAAATTCATATAATGTCACTCATAATTCAAGTGGTAGAATATGAAGATAATAAATATTTAGGGATAAAGATGAAGATTTACTTCTCTTTAGGCAGTTTGAAAAATCTTCCTTTGTGAATGCTTCCCTTGGTCATGCATATCACGTGTTACATAAAGAACACATATAAAACATGACCTGAAGTTAATGTGGTATTCATCATTATTTTGAAATCTTTAAGGAAGGTAATATCATTCTTTTTGTTGCTGTTGTTTTTTTCTGGTGCCGGGAATTGAACTCACAACCTTGCACTTGTCAGGCAGGCGCTGTGCTGCTGAGCTAAATCCTCAGCCCGCTAATATCATTCTTTACATGTGAATGTCATGGAAAATCAGAAATCCTTTATTTTAAAATTTTAGAAAACAAGTAACATCTCTATGTAAACTGTATTTTAACTGCTGAGAAAGAATCAGAAGAATTTGGAAATTAATTTCAAGAAATCTGAAACCAAAGTTCGTAAATTCTTCTTTACATGCTTAGAATGTGCCTTTCTGCCTCCATCCTTCCAACATCACACCATGAAAAGTACATAGAATTTTTGTGCTTTAATATTTACAAATTTGAATGTTGAATGTTTCCCAGCTTTTGATCATAGCAATCCTCATCTTCTAATCTATGGAAGTGTCAGCTTTAACTTCCACATATAATAATAATGTATAAAAGAAAGAATTATTAGGGCTGTGAACATAGTTCAGTGGCATACTTTCTGCCTGGAAAGTGCAAGGTCATAAATTTGATTTCTAGTACAAAAAAAAAAGTTTATTATTCATAACATGCTGAATGTGAATCATTGTATTTTATTTTATTTTATTGGTACTAGAAATCGAACTCAAGACCTTGCGTTTGCCAAGCAGGCGATTGTGCTGCTGAGCTATATCCCCGGCCCATATGAATGTATTCTAAAGGGGCCCATTTATAATTTTAATTTCTGAATGTCATTTCCTTTCTGGTTTTAACTCCCTTGGGTTTCAAACATAGCATCATGAACCAATAGAAGAGAACAGTACGAGGGCTGTAGTCTCCCGACCGTAGGACCTGTTCTTGAACTGGGAGTCAAAGTGGTTAAATGTGTCTTGGCATCAGCACTACATTTAAATACTAGTTTTTCCCCTTAAAACTGTTTTGTTTTGGGTTATATAATTTACATTTTCTAATATTATTTCAATCTGCCTATTTGAAAAAAAATGATCATTATATTACTATTATTATTCTAAGTTGCTCTGAGAAGAGCAAAATGATAATGCGGGCAAGGTGCGTGAGAAGCTGCCTGACTTGTGAAATGCCCAATAAATGTAGCTTAGAGTATTGCTTATGAATGCTCATGAAAGAACAGTAAAAGGAAGAAAAGAAAAAAGTAATAATGGAGGTAATAAAAGTGAAAAGTGAGTATTAAAAATTGAAGTAATGAGGTATTTTGGCACAATTTTCTGTCACTGATTATAGTTCACAAGAAATAAGAGCGCTGTAAAGTAATTCTTGGAAATAAAACTTTCTTTAAGTTTAATGGATCTATAGAAGATAAAAAGTACTTAAAGCAAAAGTAGATGATTATTATTCTACACTGTTTCTATGAATTATTCTTTACTATTTCTATGAATACTTAGACTTGGCTTGCATTTTCAAAAGTTTTATTGTCAGAAACACAATATAATCATTAACTTGAAAAATTTAATGGTAATGAAAGGAATATGTTTGCATATTTTTATGAAATGTGTCTAGGAATATATATATATATGCATATATGCACACATATTTGGGGATATACATAAATATTACTGTTTAATTGGAAAATGAAAAAATCATATGGCTATTCCAAAATTTTATTACACATTCAAAATGTTAGCAGTTTAAAAATATATATATACTTTTCCAAGTATTTATTAAATCTAATACAATTGAAAGAAGGCTGAAAGTATCTCTTTACAAGAATAAGAGCTAATCATTTTTAGATAATAAAATGTTACTTATGTTTAACATAGCTGGATTATTTTATTGGTATCGCAAAGGAAGAAAACACCAGATTCACAAAATATATCCATTATTCTCTCTGATATTTTACCCAGATGTAAACACCAGTCAAAATGATTCAATTCAACTTTCTTTCAGGTTTTTATTGAACCATTATTCATGTCACGGGTTACTATACAATCTATGAGAGAAAGCGGTATTTTAAAATAAATCAGTTCACCGACTTGATTGAAAGTGACTTCATAATATGCATTCATGACTCTCTTAACAATAGCTTTATAGGCATCATAATATTTTCATGTGATGCTATCTGATTTATAATTGAAGACATTCAGAACTGTTGCTAAAGAAGAAAACAACAGAGAATAAAATCAGTGCAGATGTGCTAGATTAACATTCCATAAGAATTTCTATGTTTTCTATTAAGAAATTAAATGGTAAGAATTTTGAAGTGATAGGAGATGGAA